GCCCTGATGCTCAAAAGTAAAATATCTTTGACAGCTCAGCACACACTAGATGTTTCTTACAAATATTCTAAAGAGAAGTTAATAAGGCACCAAGATTTTATTTATATAGCACTTTATATAGTACAGTAGACATTCTCAATCTCAGATAGTAAAATTGTAGTTAATCCTGGGACAGCGTCTTCATTACTTTCTTCTCCTTTTGCATTGCTCAGGTAACCCACAAGGAATGGAGATCACCCACAGACCCCTGTCTAGGGATGCTCCCCATGGAGTTGTAACTGGTTCCTGTATCTTCCTCCCCAAAGTCCCTGGTACAGGCAAAAGAGAATGCAGAATGTGATGTGGTCCCTCGGGGTATTTCTGAAAGTTGACACAGGGTCAAGGAGTTGAAATAGGTATGGGAAGTGTGCGTGTGCATGTGCAAAAAGCTCACTATGGAGCCAGAGAGATTGAACATGAATAAGAGAAGTCCGAAGGACAGAGAAATGGCAGTTGTAAACAGGTGCAGCAAAGAATCAGGCTCCATATGTGTTAAAGTGAATGATGGGGATAAGGGGTGACATTTTGTGGAGAAGAGCAAAGGAGAGGGAAATAGTTAAGACAGTAAACAATTAACGGTAACTACCAAGTGCAGTTTTCTAATCCTTTTTCCTTCACTGTTCTACAGCTGAAGTCACTATATAAAAAAGTGCACACAAGACGAAATGCAAATCAAATATCACTGCACTTAGGTTATGGCAATTTTAATATGGTTCAGAACAAACTAAATGGGACAGATTTTTGCTGCTACTATTAGTTTTTCCTACAAATGAACTTCAAACGCAGCTGAATATTGAAGAACCAAGATGTGTGTGTTTGACTGAGTCTGTATTTGCTAGGCATAGATTCTGTTTGTGATCTGGATAGGTATGTACTAATGTGGCCCATATTTTTAAATTGATAATACCCTTGCAATTGGAATGTATTTATATATAAAGCTGGCATGTCCTTTTTCTATTTTTTGTTTGGTTCTTTGGGTTGGGGAATACTGTATCTTTAAATTAGGAGTAGCTGAATAATGAATCTTAGGCAGTGAAAAGGCTAATGTGCTGTGGAAGAGAAGGAGTTTAATCTAATTTAGTTGGAGGGTGTCTGTCTGTGGTGTTGTTTTCTGGACTGTGGGAATAGAGGAGAGAAGCTGCCCCCGTGAATGGTTCCTCCTGAGCCAGGATCAGTGGGGAGTCCCTTAGATGCCACTGATCCGAAGCCAGGCCATGAAAAGGGGATTAAAGAAATGTTCTGATTTGCAATTCACACTAATGCACCCCGTCGAACCTTTGGTAATATTTCAAACCACATTTCAAGGGAAGTGCCCTTAAAATAGCTGGCTAAATTGTATTAGAGCAACACTATACAAACCCCTCATCCATTTATGATGTGGGTTTTATGTTTTGTTTTGTTTTGTTTTAATCTTTTAACTAGTGTTGTTGCTGGTGTTTTAATGTAATTAAAACTTAGTGTATAGTGATATTCAACATTTTCATGGACTGTAGGTTATCCTACCACTAAGATCATATAATTCACCATTCTCATTATTAAGATCGTGTGTGGAATTTAAATAGGAAATATAGACCTGTTGTCATTATTACAAGGATTTTTTTATTTATTATTTATTTATTTTAGTATGAGCTGTTTTTCTTTTAAAGGTACGATTTCCTTTAAGGATAACTTTTATTTTGTGTTTCTTATAATTAGCTAACAGAATGAAAGTGATGGCAAATAACAGGCTTTCACTATGTAACAGATATAATTTTTAAAAGTACCTTTGTTAATATTAACATGGATGGGGGAAGGGTTATTGGATCGTACTAGTACGCACCCTGATCTTTATTTAAAAAATAAACATATCTCCTTAATGCTTCATTAAATATGACTACAGTAGTAGCCACATCATTTTAAACTTTAGATTAATCAAAAGCAATGTACTTTGCTATGACATGCTGCTTTTGAGAGTAATTTACAGTGTTTTTCTAAAAAATGCTTAACTACTAATTAACTTGTAACTCTCCAAGCCTATCATTTAATTTCCCTTTACTGTTGAAGAGTCAGAGCATTTTATCTCAGAGGGATTATTTGGGTTTTCTTTAATCCCATTTCAGAAAACCTTGCCTAGCACTCTAATTTCCATTGACTTTAACATGTATGGAATAGACGCAACTTTCAACTTTGATTTTTAACATTATCCACATCAAAGTATTTTATTATCCTTTCACTACAATAAATTACACAACATTAAACTTTGCCATGCCATTTTTTACCCTGTATATGCTGTATTACACCTACAAAATATTTAGATATGCTTTAAATTGTGACATGCTTCATTAAATATTCAGTTTTAATTTTTTTGCACATGGAACACTAGCTGGACTTTGAAGTACATATGATTCTTTTGCATGTGTTGGGGACTATGTACATGGCTATAGGGGAAATGCATCTTTCCTGTGAGTTGGCACATTATTTGAAATCATGTTTAATTATAAAGTTTCATTAAAAACCTTTTGCTTAAAATTTTGAGAGGCCTAATAAGATTTCCATTAATTTAAACATATCACTATTCCCACAACGGCCCAAATGCTTTCTTTTTCCTCTTTCATCCATGGTTAAATATGTAAATAAAATGTCTAAAGTCATTCTTCAAAGAAGACAAAAGAAAAAAGAGCTGAGGGAAAAGACAGCCATAAAATTCCTCCCAATTCTCCATAACATTTGCCAGAGGGGGGCCAACTCCTAGCCAGGGCCTAGCAGCAGGGGTGCCTGGCTGCTCCATAGAATCACACATCTCAAATCCCACACACAGGAGAAAAAAAATAAAAAATAAAATATCTTTTCAGCTGGAGCCATCAAAAGGCTCTTTTCATTTATTAGTTACAGAGTTATCTTCCAGTTGCTGGTTTCTCAGAGCCCTCATTTTTTGATAATAATGTTCTGTTTGTTAGTTTCTCTGACTCAGGCTAGTTGAATGGAGGACATTTCTGGATAGCTTTCTTTTTTTAAAATAGTAATAAAAACAGAAATAAATGATCTGAAGAGGTTTGTATTGGCTAACATAATGGTTAATAGATTTAAAGTAGCACATAAAAGATCAATTAAGAGACATAACTCCTACAAAGGATAACTTTTTTCTTTTATACATTTCACATTTATATTTTCTTTTAGCCTCCAAGGAAAATAAGAAATGAAGTGGCTGTTATCAAGAGCTGTACAAAATAAGGAGACCAACTTTGGTTTTAATTTCTTTTTTCCATATTATTTCAGTATGGTTTTGATACACAATAAAGTACTTTGTAAAGAAAAAATAACCCATCCCCACAAAAAAACCCAGTCAAGCTCAACAAAACAAACTGTATCAGAAATGTTCATCTCAAGTGTCATTTCAATTTAACTTTAAAAAAGGTGCCTTGTCCCTTATGAATGCTTTGCCCCTTCACTTCCTTACTACCCCCAACTGAGCTCTTGGGAAGAGGATCTAAGGTGCATACAAATACTAAGAAAACAGCTTAGATTAATGAAGAATGGAAATGGTCCACCACACACAAATACACACATACTCAGAGCAAGCGCAATGTCACCAAAAAATAAGGCCTTTTTGTTTGTTTGCTGGTAACACTGACTGCCTTCATAACAGTTCCCAAATGCATCTAGAAGTGACCAAAGGAAGGATCAATGTGATATGATGCAATAGTTTATCTGTCTGTTCTCTTTTTCAGAAAGATTCCTGAATCCACTGGAAAGTCATTAAAGAGAAGTTATCCACTGATTTCAAGCTCTTTCTTTTAGTTAAATTAAGGACCTTTTATTTTTAGGCAAATTTTGTCAGCATCTTTGGGGTTTCAGAAGCAAACATTACCCCTGGTTTGTTGATCTTTCTTGGATCCAAAACCCTTATCACAATCAAAGAAGCCAATAGTTCCCTTTCTAGAGGCTGGCGAGATATTAACTCTGACCCAGCAGGATTTGTTAGTTTCCAGGAGAATCCATGTTGATTTTGATAAGAAGCAGGCACTAATGGAGAGAAGTCCTGATTATATGTAGGTGTGAATGAAGAGAGATATTTTTCTTTCTTTGTTAATATGTTTGTCTAAAATTGAACTCATATCAGAAAGTGAAGCTCATCTTGTAGGATTTGATCATAACATTCCCTTCTAGCATTAAACAAAAATCTATGAATAACCCATCTTATTCCGCCTGTGTCTAGATCAGTTAGTTAGAAGGAGGGAAGAAAGGAGGAGTATTATAAACTAACTAAGCATTTTATTTTTGGTTACTGTTGTTTCACTTCTAGTTTTAGGAGAGGATAGAGCTTCATCCTGTAGTTTTTACCTATATGGAACCCCATTAAAATCAATGGCAGTTTTACTGGCATAAGATCCCCAAATATTATATAATATTACTATAATATGATCAAAATGATCCTAGTGGTTTTATTTTTAAAATAAAAACAAAGCAGTAACTAAAACACCCAACTCATTGTTAAAGATCTGCCCTGCCACTTTTTCTTCTCCAAAATCTCAAGGTCTTGAATGAATTAAATCACGTTCTTTCACCAGGACTTTCTTTCTCTGGTCCACTCTGATTTTCTTATGTAAAGGAATCTGCCAGTTTCACTTGATGTGCACTCAGATACTGTGAGATATCCTGACTGCGTTGTTCGGTTTCAGGAATTCGACACAATCAAAGCAGAAATCTTGTAAACTGATGAGATTCTACTGCAGTGGAACCCGGCTTTTATGACTCTGTCAGCCAAGAGTTTATGGCACACTTGCCATAAAATGCATCCTCCCCACATCCTCCCTTCTAAAGCATTTCCCTGCATCTCCTTCTCCCCTCTCAAAAAAGAGAATCAAGGAGGCACCATCTCCAATGCTCTGTCTGGGATACAAGCATCTTTAAAACTCGATTTCCTTGGGCTTCTTTCCTACCTGAATTAGGACGGCAGGTGAGGTGGTAGTAGTCTAAAGAGAGAAAAAAGATCTTGTTAAACTTTCAAGGGCGGGGAGAGGGGGGAAGAAGAGAGGGTGAGAGCGAAACAAACGAGGCTTTTTTATCTGTTGTGATCAAGGAAAACCTGTAGGGGTCCTTAAGGAGGTTTCAAGGCGTTCCGAGTGATTGGAAAGTAATCACCGTGTCAGCTTCACCTTTCTCATGCAAAGTGGGTGTCGTAGGCAAGGCGGATCTTGCACAGGGTTTTGTTTTGTTTTGTTTTGTTTTTTTAAATCCTGGAACACAACCACCTCCTAAAAAACAGCTGCAACAGTCCCAGGACTTGCTACTACTAAGAGGAGAGGAGAGATCAGAACCAGTCCTGCCTTGCAAAGCGCTAAAGGACAAACCCGTTGCAAAAATAGAAGGGGGAGGGTTTCAGCCCTTCTCCGACGGCTTAGAAGATATTTCCTTCTCCTTTTTCTCTGCTGCGGGATACGCCACCACCGCGCCGCCACCTAGGGAGCACGAAGATCGCCTAAAGACTGCAGCACCGACCAAAAACCCTGCGGGACATGTGGAAATTGATCACTTGGATTTAACAACAAACCAAGAGCTATCGCTGTGTCTGGGGGACCGCAGGGAGGGAGCGCTGGAGAGGTCTCCGAAGTGGAACCCTTAGAGAAAAAAAAGGAAGTTTCTCGGCTCCTCGCAGTAAGTTTGGTGAGTCTATGGATGGGGGTGGCTCCAGAACGGCTGATTGTTTGCAAACTGCCCCTAGCGTCTCTCCTTCCCTCCCTGCCAGCGCCACCGGGGCTGGAAAATGACTTGCACGGACTTTTGCTGAGAGTGGCTTGGAAGCAGGAGACACGCGCGCAGCAGCTGGCTAATTAATGGCTGTGGGCTGTGCTGACCTTTCTAGCGCCGCTGGTGTCTGTCCCACGCGGCGGTGAAAGTCCCTTGCGAAAGTGGGGGGCGATCCCCTCCGGCGAGGTTGTGAAAGTGGGGGGCGATGCTCCCCGGCGAGGGAGCCGTGGAGCGGCTGGACTGAACTCCCCTCCCGGAGCGTAATTCGCCTGCGAAAAGCACCCGTGCTCCGACTGCACGCGTGGCTGGACGTTTCGTTGTGGCTGATAACATGGGGCCCGAGAGGAGGAACTTCGTGCAAACTCTCCTCCTGTCCTTTCGTCTAATTTGCTTTTGCACTGGGATCAGCTCCATAGACATTGACCGCCCAGGCGATGGGAGATGCCAGCCCATAGAAATCCCCATGTGCAAGGATATAGGCTACAACATGACTAGGATGCCTAACTTGATGGGGCATGAGAACCAAAAGGAAGCGGCCATTCAGCTGCGAACTTCGTGCAAACTCTCCTCCTGTCCTTTCGTCTAATTTGCTTTTGCACTGGGATCAGCTCCATAGACATTGACCGCCCAGGCGATGGGAGATGCCAGCCCATAGAAATCCCCATGTGCAAGGATATAGGCTACAACATGACTAGGATGCCTAACTTGATGGGGCATGAGAACCAAAAGGAAGCGGCCATTCAGCTGCATGAGTTTGCCCCCTTGGTGGAGTATGGCTGTCACAGCCACTTGAAATTCTTCCTCTGCTCTCTCTATGCCCCTATGTGCACGGAGCAGGTCTCCACGCCAATCCCAGCCTGCAGGGTTATGTGTGAGCAGGCCAGGCTGAAATGCTCTCCCATCATGGAACAATTCAATTTCAAGTGGCCAGACTCCTTAGACTGCAGCAAATTGCCCAATAAGAATGATCCCAATTACCTATGCATGGAAGCCCCTAACAACGGATCCGATGAGCCACCCAGAGGCTCCAGCATGTTGCCACCCATGTTTAGGCCGCAGAGGCCCAGCAATGGTCACGATTTGCAGCAGCACAAGGACAGCTTCAGCAGAGCCACCTGTGAGAACCCTGGCAAGTTCCATCATGTGGAGAAGAGTGCTTCCTGCGCTCCACTCTGCACCCCAGGGGTGGATGTTTACTGGAGCAAGGAGGACAAACAGTTTGCTGTCATTTGGATTGCCATCTGGTCCATCCTGTGCTTCTTTTCCAGTGCTTTCACCGTGCTCACTTTTCTGATAGATCCTCAGCGCTTCAAGTACCCTGAAAGGCCCATCATCTTCCTGTCAATGTGCTACTGTGTCTATTCAGTGGGGTACATTATTCGCCTCTTTTCAGGCGCTGAGAGCATAGCCTGTGACAGAGACAGTGGGCAACTTTACGTTATCCAGGAGGGACTGGAAAGCACCGGATGCACCATTGTGTTCCTGGTCCTGTATTATTTTGGTATGGCAAGCTCATTGTGGTGGGTAATTTTGACTTTAACTTGGTTTCTGGCTGCTGGGAAGAAATGGGGGCATGAAGCAATTGAAGCCAACAGCAGCTACTTTCATTTGGCAGCCTGGGCCATTCCAGCTGTGAAGACCATAATGATCTTAGTTATGAGAAGGGTAGCAGGAGATGAGCTGACAGGATTGTGCTATGTTGGAAGCATGGATGTGAATGCCTTAACTGGATTTGTACTCATTCCTTTGGCTTGTTATCTAATCATAGGCACTTCTTTCATTCTTTCTGGTTTTGTGGCCCTCTTCCATATCAGGAGGGTGATGAAAACAGGTGGAGAAAACACAGATAAGTTGGAGAAACTTATGGTCAGGATCGGTGTTTTTTCAGTTTTATATACAGTGCCTGCTACATGCGTAATAGCTTGCTACTTTTATGAAAGACTTAACATGGATTATTGGAAAATTGTGGCAATGCAATATAAATGCAAGATGAACAATCAGACTAAACATTTGGACTGCATGATGAATAATTCCATTCCTGCAGTAGAAATTTTTATGGTGAAAATTTTCATGTTGCTGATTGTGGGCATTACCAGTGGTATGTGGATCTGGACTTCCAAGACACTTCAATCCTGGCAAAATGTTTGTAGTCAAAGATTAAAAAAGAGAAGTAGGAGAAAACCTGCAAGTGTCATTACAAATAGTGGAATCTATAAAAAACCACAACATCCCCAAAAAACTCACCATGCAAAATATGAATCAGCATTACAGCCACCCACTTGTGTATGAACAGTATATAACAAAAACTTTATCTCAGTTTGTAGACACTTCTAAATGCCCGCAGTAGAAACATTTTAAAAGGTGCTTTTTGTCTGAGAACAGTGTTGTAAATCAAGGCAAAAATGTATCTCACTGAAATTTAGGACCTATCGATAAACTGAAGGTAAATGTACTTAGGAAAAGATGTTCAGTGAAAGGACTATGGTTAATTAAAGCAGTTTCTTCTGTTGCTAATTTGTACTAAGATATTTCATCCAGCCTTCTGATAAAAAAAACCCTCTTCATAAACTTTATATGAAGCTGAGCTGGAGTTGCTACAGATTTCTAAATAACAAGATATAATCAAATTTTATGGAAGTACGATATTTTTTAAAGAGCCTGACAGAAAATTGTGGGGGTTTGGGAAACTTAACAATTTCACAGAGGCCTACTCTAAGTAAGTGGAAAGCAACTTCTGTGCTAACCTAAGAAAAAAGAAACCCTTTACAACTCTCCTTCAGCCTAGTGGGTTTGAAGTATTTAAAATAGCTTCAATCTATAAGCTCACCAATATTCTTTCACTAAAAGAGAAACTTCCTGCATGAGACACAAACTTTGTGAATAAGAATAATGTGCAATACATTTTTTTCCTTACCATGACATGAAAAGAGAAACAAGCATTTTGCTGTACATAAAGACAACAAAAGAAATCTCTTAACAAAAGAACTAAGAGGTCTAGTCCTCAGAAACCCTTTAGTGTTACATTTTGTGGCTTTTTAATGGAAATCAAGCCAATGTTATACACGTTTGGACTGATTTGTGCAAAAAAAAAAGTGCGTGTGGGGTGCGGTCAATTCAAAGAGACCCAAAGGGCTTATTGACTCTTTCTATTGTTAAACAAATTCTCACCATGAATAGATCAAGAAGCACTAGATTCTGCAAAAGCAAGCTTTGTACAGAGTGATGCTCTTTATCTGTGCTTGAAGGGCACAATTATTTGCTGTATATGTTTGTAATATACAGCTATTTTTCATGCTCCATTATTTTATAAAAATAAAATACATACATTAGTTTGATAATTTTGTCTGCTCTAAACTTCCTCCATGTGCTTTGTGGTTAATAAACTTTGTTCTCAATGATTTACTAAAGGTATATTTTGAATGTAGCATTCCAGAGTGAAGTATGTTATACTTGACACATAAGGACTGCAAGTGTAATCGGATTGACCCTTACAGTGCAATGGGAGAATAGCAAGTTGAAAAAAAAAGTTTTAAGTTGCATCTTTCTATGAATCTTTGCAATTAAGAGAACTGAATGAAAAGGAGCTTTAAAATAGATACCCAGTGATTTAATATTATGTTTACTAAGAACAAAGATTACAACAATGATCCTTGGTTATAAACAGCTTTAAAATCTGCAGAGAGCACATTCAGCATGTTGAAGAGAGCTGAATTACTACAGCACTGTTTTATATAATGCAACCCGTACATAACAAAGATTTGTTTTCCTGGTAATAGTACTGAAAGGTAGTGAATTAATAACCATAAAGAGACTAGTAAAAGATCAGTAGGGGAAAACAGTTGGTGAACAATTTTCAGAGAGAGCATATATATATATCTTTTGTGTAAATTGTAATGAAGTTACAACTAAAATATGACACCCCCTTCCACCCTTTTGTGTCTATGTGCCATTCTTTGGAATGAAGCTTTGTAGACGTCTTGGAAGTTAATCCTGTCAGAGTACACCCTGGCGGAGCCAAACTAGGACATGGCTCTAAACACATTTTGTTCTGAAACTACTGCATTAATGCTTTCATTCTAGTTAAGATCAGTTATGTAAGATCCTAAGGACAAGCTTCATTAAATAAGAAGCTTCAGAATACCAATTAACTTAGAAAGTCCATTGGTGTTGTGATCACCTTTCCAGTACCAGGTCTACTTTAAAAAATTCTGTGTCCTCTTTGGGATAAAGATAAGGAGCACTTTTATAAATGATAGATACGTATTTAGAGAATGTTTTAGGCTGCAGTCTTAAGTATGGGAACAACCAAGATTATGCAATATATGGCAAAGTACACTGAGTGGTAGGTAACACTTAAAAATAAATTGCTGCTAGTTTCTTTTCATGGTAAATGATAATTGTGGAACAGTAAACAGAATGACCTGCCTTAAAAATTAAGTAAGCATGATGGGATTCGTATATTGCAGGGCAGAAAGGAATTTTGTGATACCTAGTCTGACTTCCTGCATAATACATGTCATAGAACTTCCCCAAAATAGTTCCTAGAGCATATCATTTAAAAAGCACAAAACCCATCTTGATTTTAAAAATGCCAGTAATAGTTAATCCACCATAATCCTTGGTAAATGGTTCCAATTATTAATTACTGTTAAAAATTTACACCTTATTCCCAATCATCTGCAAACAAAGAGTTTAATCAGTTAACTTCAATGTGAATCCTTTAGTATTAACAGAGCAAGACTACAAGTTGTTTTTATAAAGGCACAATATCTGAAGTGTTTAGCTAGATACGTCAATTGTACACTTGCTAACATTAGAGCAAGAAGTGTGGGTATTTATGCCCATTTTTATTGTTATTAAGTACTGCTTTTTAAAAAATCTCTGGTATTGATAAGCAAGATGTATGTCTCAAGTAAATTGATGTTTTTGTTATCAACTTAGTCCTTAATATTCTGGAAATATATTTGAACCGAATGATTACCTCATAGGGCATCTATGATTCTATTCTATTATTCTATCTCTATTTCCCTATCTTGCATCCTCCAATAATTTTATGTGGATAGTATTGACAGTGCTAGTAAAAGAAGGTGGAGAAGGCCATGATAGACCTCTTACAGAAATGTGGGATAGTACGTGTTAGAAAGTGACCACTTTACAATAGGTTTCTGACCAATGATAAGAATTTAATAGAGAACTTTATTCCTGCCTTAGAATTCTACAGATTTATTTTAAAAAGTGCTACTAATCTCTATTTTTAAGAGACATTTCTTTTTAATCCTGTTAAGTTACTAAAGAAATCTTGGATTCATCCTGATTATATTCCATGGGATTTTTCCATAAAGAATTCTACACGTTTGCCCCAAGGATGGATGCTTTTTACATTACAGTGCACATCAACAAAATAAATATTAACCTCATTGTAAACTCCAGAGGGAAAGGAATTTCTCAGAAATTCATCTCTAGAAAAAGAGATTTATTGCATTCCAGTCAAATGTATTTCAGTAGTTTGCTTAGACAAGAATATCACAGAAGTCTTTACAACTAGCTAGTCAGTACAGGCAATACACATCAAGAACCAAATGCATCTACCAGATATGTGTGTGCCAATCCAATTGCCTTCAGTGGGAGTTGTGTATACACATCCAAGGGTGCCATTTGCTTCAAAGAATGTAGATTATGATGCCTCACCCAGGTTGTGTCTATTTATGTGAAAGTATCAAGTGAAAGAAAGTTACATGGATCAAGATTAGTTTAGTAAGGAGGGGAATTTGGGATCTTAGTGGATTATGTTTTGATAGTTTTATTACGGAGAGGGTAAGGAGTTAAGAAGGTGCAGGGTAAAATGTGATTTGGAAAGAATCAAACATTAAAACAACTAGGCCAAATTGTGCCTACACTTACACTGGTGTTGGTCATTATATAACACCACTACATTTGATTTACTCTGGTGTAATGGAAACAGAATATAGTCTCATAGCTTCAAATTTTGGCTCAAGATATGGTGCATTTGGACAGATTCTAACACCTAGAATACCACAGTATCAAGACAACTGGGAGAATATAACCCAGTTGAAATATATTGTTCAGAGCCCCTATCAGATTTTTCCAGAAGTAGCATTTCAGCTGCATGTTATTATGAGGCCATTATTCACATATGGCTGTCACCTTATGGCTTCAAACTATATGAAAAGACCAGTACCAACAATATCTGTAACACACACCCTTCTTATCCTAAACTTAAAACCCTTGGCTTCAAGGGATAGCACTGTAATGATGGGGTATTATGTGCTCAGGTGGTCTTTTGATGACAGGTGGTCTTCTAAAACAGATGACCTCAAAGGGGAAATTCAGTGCATTTTAGTTAAAAACATTTACACATTCCTTGGGAAAAAATCTGAAATGTTCTCCTTGTGTAATGTTTTTAAATATTTTGGACAGAACAGCCAAGTTATTAACACTGACAGATGATAAATCAGGTGATGCTTTACAAGGTGGGTGATGGTGATTATGTGGTCTTGGTGCTTGCTTTGATCAGAAGTGACAACCCCTCAAGGTCTGTGGTATTCAGTCTTCCCTGAAGGGAGATCAGCACCTGTTTGCACTTTGAGGCTCTTCTACCTCCCACTGCCTTCCAGCATTATTTCATCTCTCTTAACACACTTGGATCTGATTGACTTAAAGCAAAATCATTATTCATTTACAAAACACTGCTTTATTCAACTCACCCCAAACTATATTGTAGTGGTACTGGTTGTGCTGTTACAATTAAAGTGGCATCCACATTCCCTTTACAAAAGCTTTATTTTTAGTTAACTCCAGGCTAAAATCAGAGTAGGTGCTAATCCAAGCATGGCTTCATTCCCTCCCTCCTCTCCTGCCCCTCCCTCTCCCGCCCCTTCACGAGTACAGCTTGCAGCCTGCTGGACCATTCATCTTAAATTGTGCTGTTTATTTTTTTTATGCTCATCTAGGAGAAACACAGAAACAGGTCTGTAAAACAGAGACAGGACATGGTTTGGTGTTTCAGATTTTGGCTTAATAAATGTTATTCCAAATTGTTCTTTGTCTTGCTTTTGAACTGTAATGGATACCTTTAGGAAATGGCACATCATAAGACTTTAATTCCACCAAGAGGTTTTAGTGACCAAATAAATAACAAGAATGAGGCTTGGGTGGTTTGTTAATATTGTATATGCGGGATGTCAGCCAAAGTCTACTCTTAGTTACACAAATGTAAACTGAGTTCATGGAGTCACTTTGGAATTACACCAGTGTGTCTGAGAGAAGAGTTTGTCCCAGACATTCTTACACTCCCAAATGTGGAGCAGTCAGGATTTTTGCAAGAGGCAAGTCTGAGCTTTGTGTGTATTTGCTGTAACAAATTATTTTAAAAAGTAATTTTTCTCTTTTTATTCTCTAGTTATATCACTGCCTTCTCCATGTATCTGATCCACTGACGTCAAAGTGTTGCTAGTGAAGTTAATGTGTTTCCCACTGATATAAGTGGTCTCTGGATCAAGCTTCAGCTCTTCACTAGTGCTGTGTGGGTACCAGAATTTCACTTTCATGTAAATTTCACTGCAGGTTGAATCTCTGGTCTGGCAACATCCATAGTCCAGCATGATTTTAATTAGCTGGATGTCCACTTATCATGAGTGTGGCTAAGTTTCCCATGGTTCCATAAAGCTTGTTTACAGCAGCCAGTTCTGGCTCTCAGTGTTCTGTGCTGTTGATTAGCTCTAATTAACTCCTAAATATTTTCTATGAGCCCAGTAAGCACTGGAAAAGTTGGCAATGCTGCTAGATTTCTCTAGGGCTACATCTATACTGCACAATTATTTTGGAGTAAACTACACCAAGTGCCCTAGAAATAGCACTTAGCTATTTTGAAATAGAGCATCCATACTCATTGGATGTGAATCGCACACAGAAGCACTTTATGCAGGGCTTCAGGACAGCATTCTCATCCCATGGATGCTGCCTAAGACTATCTAAGGCTCAAGTTTAAAGGGAGGGCTACATCTATACTGCACAATTATTTTGGAGTAAACTACACCAAGTGCCCTAGAAATAGCACTTAGCTATTTTGAAATAGAGCATCCATACTCATTGGATGTGAATCGCACACAGAAGCACTTTATGCAGGGCTTCAGGACAGCATTCTCATCCCATGGATGCTGCCTAAGACTATCTAAGGCTCAAGTTTAAAGGGACCCCCCCCCCATACAGCCATGTCGCAGGCTCTTCTCTTTTGCCTACCTCATTGAGGGACAGCAAACCCATTCTTTTGCCTGCTGTGGTTGCCCTTGTGGACACCAGCCCTCCCTCCTCATCCTGGAGTCCCTCATTGGCTCTCTGGATCCCACCTGTCCTCCCCTTCACACCATGCACCTCAACTTCTGGCATCTGAACACCAGTTCTGACTGGTGAGACTGGCTCGTCATGGAGCGGTAGAGCAACCAGCAGTGGCTCCAAAATTTCCGGATGATGAAGGAGACTTTTCTGCAGCTGTGTGAGTGGCTTGCCACTGTCCTCAGACAATGGGACACACACATGTGATCTGCCATCCCTCTGGAGAAGCGTGTCACCATTGCCATGTGGAAGCTCACCACACTGGACAGCCACTGATCCGTCAGGAACCAGTTTGGCATGGGGAGATTGATCATCAGGGCCCTGTTCATGCAGGTATGGCAGTCTCAGGCTGTTGTCCCAGGAGAAGGATGGACTGCTGGAATGGGGTCCCCTAGGGAAAGGAGGGGTTGTTGGTGGTAGTGGAAGTTCTCCCCATTAGATTTTTCATTGCTGCCCTCACAAAGCCCTGCCGGAGTGGGGTGTTGCTCCTGCTATGGAGGAGGAGAGTGAAGGGAAGGCAACCTTCCAATGTCTCTGGCAACCCTGCAATCCTGTTTGTTTGTTTGTCTCCTTCTATGGGCAGCTTTAATACCCACTCCTGCATCACAGACACACCCACTCTTTTCCTATGGGCTGAGATTGCAATTCCAACAAGAAATGAAGGTGCCATGTTAGATACCATGTTATCTGTATCTTTTGGGGTCATGTCAACAGATTGTTTTGGGCTCAATCCTAGCTTAAAATTTAAATTGTATCAGGCCCTTTGTAAACAGGTTGGGAAGTGGTCTCATTTGGCAATTATTATTTGGTATTATTTAGATTATTTAGATGGCATTGCCATCATAGAATTGACATATACATTTCTCAGTAGCTTTACATATAACATACCCAGCCCCACTGACCTCATGGGAAATGTATCCATCAAGCAGTGGTGGTAAGGGTTCTCCACCCTGTACTTGTCATGGTTAGTTCAATATTGTCATTATGGCTTATGGAATCAGCAGTCACTTGATAGTTTTGCGGTAACTTAAAAAAAATGCAGTTGCTGTACAGCTCATTGGGGTTGTAAATTTCCATTAATCAGTTAACTAGTTAATGTTAGGTCACAGTGGGGCTGCCGCTGGCTCCCAGCCCCCTCCAGAGCAATCCCTGTGTGCAGCAGGTAGGGAGCTGCTCCAGCCCCCTTTGATTACCAGTTAATTGGAATCGTGCTTGCAGTGTAACCTCAGCCTTAGCCTGCTTATTGCTTCAAGTACCTACAAGAAAGTGAGGGCGATTCTTGTGTGTTAGTTTTATTTTTAAAGTTTTTCTGAGTGTTATTTTAACAGGCAAATTAATCTCTTACATTCACTGACGTAGCAAAGACGGTATGATGAGGTAATTGCCCCTCTGCTCCTCCTATCATCCTTTGGCTTGCCTGCTCCTCCTCTTCCCACCACTGCCTGCTGAAGCCTCTTCCCCACCTCTCTGCCCCCAGCTCCACACTGGAACATTTTCAACAGAGTGATAGTGCCTGCCCCAGACTGGAAAGGGTAGGGGAAGACGCGGGACAAACTCC